GAGAGCAAGACCCCCCCCCCCCCCCCCCACAGCTCCTGATGCTGCTCCATCAGAGTGTGAATGAAGCGGTGAATGAGAGAGTCGACTGGAAAAGTGCTTTCAGTGGTCGATAGACTGGAAAAGCGCCATATAAATGCAGTTTCATTTACAATTTCATGACTTATCTGCAAATATCTTGCATTTTATTTCTGTTTTTTTTGGTTGGGTTTTTTTTATGTTCACTGTTTATTTCTTGATTTTGTATTTTAATGTCTTCATGTGCTTTGTGTTTTATCCTAATTCCCCCTCTGGGACAACTTTTTTTTCCTGTGCTCCACCCAGGCGCCCTGGAAAATGCATGTTTGTTTTGTTTTTTTCACATTGATGGCCTTGGCATTTCTAATTAATGTATGCTGGTTAAATGTCTTGCCTAAAGTAGTGATAACACAGTGACCTTTAAAGACCAACAAGGCTAAATGGCTAACTACAACCTTGCATGAGATGTACCGTCGAGTGCGACAGTGTACGAGGAAAAATCCATGCAAATGACTCCCTGTGTATCCACAACTTTGAAAGTGGAACTTTTACACTATGGTTCACAACATACTGTATACCAACCATTTGAGAGCAGCACTAAAATGCAGTTTTCACTGGATGTTAATATAAAGTTATTTATCAGTTTGGCTTTTATTTAAAAAAAACAAACAAAAAAAAAAAAAACAACCCTTCAAATGTCAGTCTGTGTCTAAGTGTCTTTCCTTATTATTGTCTCTCTGTCTGAACAGACAGACAGACAGACAGACAGACAGTCAGTCAGTCAGTCAGATGTCTGTCTGTCTGTCTGTCTGTCTGTCTGTCTGTCTGNTTAAAAAAAAAAAAAAAAAAAAAAAAAAACAACCCTTCAAATGTCAGTCTGTGTCTAAGTGTCTTTCCTTATTATTGTCTCTCTGTCTGAACAGACAGATGTCTGTCTGACTGACTGTCTGTCTGTCTGTCTGTCTGTCTGTCTGTCTGTCTGTCTGTCTGTCTGTCTGGCGACGAGTGTCTCCACCTCCTCGTAATGAAAGGCTGTGTGACGGAGGAGCGAGGAGCATCAGACAACACCTGTAGAAAAGCAAACAGCCTCATCCAGGACAGCAGCGCTAATAAAGACGAAAATTAACATCCATGCCAAAATAAAATGTGTTTACTGGAGCTGGAGGGAGGGAGGGAGGGAGGGAGGGAGGTGGTGAGAGGATGAAAGAGCATTTGAAGTGTGTGTGTTTGCATAAAGCTTTCATTTTGATACTGAATTTACTTTTAATTGGTGAACACATTATATTATGTACCAAAATGTAAGCAACCACACAAACCCAGATCATATTGCAAAAATTTCCCAACTTTAAAGCAGCAGCCAGCAGGTTTCCCACTGTCTACCCCACACACACACACACACACACACACACACACACACACACACACACACACACACACACACACAGACTCTCAATTGTCCCTGTTTGCTCTCTTGTGCCTTCCCTGGCAGCAGGGACAGTTTATTGCTCCTTGGGCTCTTTTTTTTTTTTTTTTTATCGAATGATTCATGCTCTTGGCCGGGATGGCGCTCCAAATGTGCTTTGATTGAGGAAATTAAGCCCAAGGCCCTTGAACTGGTTTGACAAGTCCCGACTCGTCCGGCTTGAACCCAGATGTGACTGTGATTGGCTGATGGGACGGCGTGACCGTCATCACATGTGACGGATAAATTTGATGGGGTTTTTTTTTTTTTAAATGTACTATTTCATCCCAACTCATGCCCCTTAATGTGGACAGGAAGAGGGAGGGGTTACATTATATTGATGCAATGAATCTTTTTATTTTTAATTTTTTGCTTTCGGTGTCATCAGACTGAGTTGAGTGTCGGGCGTGTTGTGGGAACGCCACCGAGCAGAGACGCAGTGCAGGCTTTTGGCACACGCACAAGGTGATATGTTTCCCCAGAAAGACGTTAGCGGTGAAGGCGGAGAGAAAATGTTTACAAGCCTCTTGTGAACCACCCGGGCCTCTGAGCACACGGCACAGTGACAGTCCAACACTTCCAGATCTTAACTTCCACCGTACAGCGGGCCAGTGGTTTCCCACAATACCATTCAGCTTCTGCGTCGCCTACACGCATTTCATTCATACAGCGTCACCACAGTTAAAAGAGCGACTAATGTAAAAACAAATGAGAATTCAGCTCGAGTCTCAAAATAGTTCGGTGTGCATCAAATAATGGATCTTTCCTCACTAATCACAGCTTGCAAATTGCTTTTTCGGACTTTCGAATGATATTGATCGATTTTTTTTTTTTCTTTTACAGTTTTCATATGTTGGAGCCAGATGTGCTTGTTAGGAAAATGTGCTTTTTTTGCCCCTGAGAGCAGAGAATGTCTGTGCGGGGGGGGTTAAGAAAAAGAAAAAAAAGAAAATAAAGTGAAGCAAACTCTTAATCTACTCAAATGCCCTCCCAAGAGGCTTTTGATGATAAACATCTCAGTTGGTTTAAAGATGTGATTAACTATAATTAGAGCCACCAATCTGTCTGTATTTAGAGAGTTCTTTTAAAGACATAACATTCATAGCGTCGGGCTAAATATCTTATTTTCTCACTTTTATCAGTCCAATATGCGGCCACATGTTGACATGTGGTGATTTCCAATTCAGCGTCGTCTCTCGCTGACGGTGACAGCTACACATCCAGATCAAACACAGCACGCCCACAATAGTCTTTTATGTACTGCACCCTTCACGTCACCTCTTCTCCAGTCTTATCTCGCTGCTTCCTCCAAATGCCTGAGCAAAAAAGAGAAAACGTGAGGTCAAAGGCCACAGGGCCACCGTATTTAGTAAATTTGTCATATCAAGTATCGAGTATGCGTCATATATTAAGTCTAAATCATAATCTAATCTAATCTGGCTATAGACGTACTATTTTAAAAATGGCCACACTGTTGATGTTCAGCACGGGACCCACGGCGGATAACAAATAATGTTTTTCTCAAACTGCCCATTCGTTATAACTGGGAGGGCTGAACAAAGACAGGTTTGCAGTCAGCCTAATTGTCATTTTGGTCCATATAATTACTGTTGTATGGCAGGCGCACACACACACACACACACACACACACACACACACACACACACACACACACACACACACACACACACACACACACACACACACACACGAAGGGGAGGGGAAGAGGTAAACATCAGCTGGGTCTGCAGCCTCCCTGAAACCAGGAAGTGAAGTCACACAGCAGCAGCAGGAGAACACACCGAGTCTTCTTCTTCATCTTCTTCTTCTTCTTTAATTATAAGAGTGCTTTGCAAAGGCTATATATTACTTCAGGGGAAAAGAATGTTTTTTAAAGTTTTCATTCAGAGTTCCAGACTTTTCCAAAGACTCTCCACCACTGAAGTGGAGAGTTTCATTGTTCTGTCTTAAGAACGGTTTCTAAGGCTTTTACATTCTGCCAAGACTCGGAAATTTATACCCTGTGCTTTGTTAAACTTCTTTTGCTGCCTCAGCTGCCTTAAGACACCTCCTGTAGTCAGTCTTAGACATGTACGTATATAAAGAACCAGATGTAATCAACCTGTTTTTACCATTTCCACCTCTTTTTCTTTGTCACCAGTTTTTCATCTAGAAGAAGACCTTTCAGTTCCCGACACTTACTGCATGTGAAACTGCTTTTGTGCTTGTTTGGAGAACAATATTTTTTTAAAGTAATAAGTTTTTAGAGCATAATGTTTCCACTAGATTTGTATTCCTGACAGCTTGTTGGGGAGAAGCGCAGGGAAGCTTTTGAAAAAACAAACTTGGCTCACCTCATTATTTTATTGACAGACGCGCTGAGGCGCCTGCTGCTCTCAAATGGCAGTAAATAATGAAATGAAGTGATTCTGGCTCCGGTTTCTCAAGAGGAAGGACCTCTGTATACTTTCCCTCATATTAGATACTGTTAAATAAATCCTTGCAATATAGCGCACAACACATTACCATCTGCCTTTTGTAAAGGAGCGACGCTATAGTCGCTCGAAAGTTTGAGTAAAGACTAATGACTGTAAAACCGTAGATCCAAGCAAGTCCACCAGTTATTCAACATCCCTTCCCTTTGGTTTCCACCAACTCGGGAGCTGGTTAAATTAGCATTAGGATATAAATTACATGAAATGCCCTTTTGTTCCAGCTTGGTGCGTGAGACAGAACACGCTAGGAGAAGCGTAATAAACCCCTGTTCCATCCACAAGTGTGAGGCGCCAGTGCAGGATTGTTCACATTGTAAGATCTCTCGGCCTTTCATGCTCGGTGGAGTTACTTAGTGGCTTGAAGCGGTGAAGGAGGGAGAGAGAGAGAGAGAGAGAGGGAGGGAGAGGGAGTGAGTGGGGGGTTAAGCAATTAGTGTGTGAAATAGATATCCTCTGCTTTTCCAAGCAGCCAGCCTCGCTCTGCCCCGAGTACAAAGTGTTAGTCTGTCAGCGGTACCTTGACAAGAGGAGAGTGCTCGCTGCTGTTTGTGTGCCTGCCTGGCGACCATCTTGTCTGATTATATGGTGCAGACAGTGCAGAGGGGCTCTGAGGCGGCTGTGTCATCTCTCTCTGTGTGACTCGGAGCTTTGAGGAATCTGTAAAGTTCAATTCTTTGCATTTGAAAGAACTGAATCTGAGCTTTTTTTCCCCCTTGCAGTTCAACATCAAGGACAGTAACGCTGTTGCTAAGTCATATTTAACACACTAGACAACAGTGATTACTCTTTGGGACATTTAAAGTATTAGTGTTTATTATGAAAGTTGAAATATACATTTTAATTTATCATAGCTTGTGTTTTTTTTTAAGCATCAGTTACACATTTATAGTCCAGATATTTGTGTTATTTTGGTCGTGATAGTGTTTGATCAGATTGAGATTAGAGATTATCCCCTGACAGGAGAAACAATCACCAAAATACAATTACATGATAAATAAATAATTTCTCAGTTGCTTTATCAAATTGTCTTTTTTTTTTTTTTTTTTAAAGTCTGCACCTGTGCCATAAGAAGAATCATTTACAGCAGATACAGCAGCGTATTTACAATGTAGTCGAGAGGAAACTTACGATTCATTTCACACATTCTATGTCCAAACCAGTCAGCTACTTGTTTTAATATAAAACATCGTTAATAGACTTGTAAGTGTGTTGGAAGAAGTGCAGCTTCATAAATATATTGAGAACTTGAGAGAAAAAAAAAGGGGCAATAAACATACATTCACCATTTTCTAACACAAAGAGCCTGTGACAGAAATTAAACTAAATAAAAAAAGAAGCCTTTTAACTAACTGAGCCTTTAAACGTTAAACACGTCTGTCAGTGGTAAATAGTCATTGCCTCTTTGTTGGGCGCACAAATATACACTTTAAAAGTGGGTCATCTAGTGGTCAGACAGTGACAGACAGTAATTGGTGTGTACATTCCTCCAGATTGTGCCGTCCATGTATTATCACTACATTTCAGTCTCAGGCCTGAGCGTCGTTTAAGCATTTCAGAAACCCACAATGTTGTTTAACAACTGCAGCTCTTTTCGAAGGACAAAACAGACAAAACCCAAACTACTGATTTAAAAAAAAAAAGAAAAGAAAAACCTGCTCACTAAACAATGTTCCCCAAATTGTGACTTATTTTCCCAATCCAAAAGTGATGCATTATTTTATTTTTTACAACACATGAAAAAATACAAAAGATAAACAATGTGTATCAAAAGTTAAAATAATGGAAAACAATATTATTGTGGATAAATATACCTGATATTAAAACTTGGGCTGATTTTGGCTCATGTCACTCAAATCGAGCTAAAAGGGGTTTCATTTGATTTTTTTTCTAAATAAAATGCCAGAAAATAATGAACTATGCCCAGATTAATAAATGGTGAAATCCTCAAATTGCTTGTTTGTTGATTTTAAGGCCTCAATTAAACTCCGGACAGCTGAACGTGTATTTGTTGTTATGCTTTTGTCTAGAGCACATGGACAGAGCCTCGCACAGACCCTCTGATGACCAAGTTTACGTCATGTGGACCGTTTCCGATCACTAGCTTAACTTTCACAAAATGGCAGAGATTCATACTTAGGATGAAGAAAAGCAGCAAAACCTTTGAGAAGCCCAAACCAAAGAACGTTTAACATCTTTACTTAGACAAAAAAAATGGCTGAAATCGTTAATTCATTTTCTGTCTGTTTGCAACTATTCTGATAATCATCTCTTTTCTTTTCAGCTCCAGTTAAATTACCTTCTTGAGTCATGAAGATCTCCGGGGATTTATCTTTCAGACAAACAGATAATGAGAAAACCTGAGAGGCACAAACTGGGGCTAGTGCATACAAAACTTTTTTTTTTTTTTTTGTTTTTAAATGCTGGGTCAGCTGGGTTGTTCAAACGTCTGTATCCAGTGGGGGAGGGAAATCCAGACATGGTGACAGCGAGTCCTGACTGTGTGTGGAGCTAATCCCAGTGTCTGAGTCTGTGTCTGTAATGTCTAGAGGGGACAGGCTGTGTTTGAGTTTCACCGTCTGTGAGACGCTGCACTGAGTCTCACTTTTCACAGGGAGAGGACTGGACTTCTCCTCTGTGCTGTCTCCGATTTGCAGTGAGCTCAGCTGGGCAGCCAGATGCCAGCACTCCTGGTCCTTGGAGAGCAGCGTGGTGTCAAAGTACTTTATCTGCTTGTCTATCTCTGCGGCTTGGTTGTGAAGGGACACGCCGGTGAAGAGGCTGTGTTGCAGTTCTTCCTGCATCCTCTTGAGCTCGGCAGTGTAGAACGATTCGTCCGTCTCGGAGGCGATCCAGTAAGCAGCCGCCGCTCCTTCCTGTTCACTCTCCTCATGTTGCTCTAGCGGGAAACTGGCCCTCCCCAGCTCAGTGTCAATGTCCCGGGACAGCTGGAGGATGAGCTCCCGGTGTCTCTGAACCTGCAGCTCGAGCTGTTCGATTCCATCGCCGGTGTACAGGTACTCCAGCAGCTGCTCCTCAGTGTGCGCCTCCAAACTCTGACCACAAGCCTGAGCCGGTGAACTCTCACACTCTGCCTCTCTCTGCACCTGCAGTTCAAACTGCTCAATGTCCAAATCCAGCTCCCTCATGTGTTGGATCTGCTCCCGGATTGTGTGGTCCTGGTTGAGAATAAGCTGCACCATCCGCTCGATCTCCTCGGCGCCCGGGGAGCTCTTGCTGTCATTGTGAAGCTTCTCCAGCTTCCTGAAGGCTTTCTTCACCATGCGCTTCTGCTTCTCCACTGGCAGAGACTGGGGGTAGTGCGCACGGCCGTGCTCCCACCGCTTCTGCTTGGCCCCCTTGGACTTAACAGCCTTCTTGGCGGGCTGAGGCACAAAATCGCTGGTTTTGAAGAGAATAAACTGGATGAAGGGTCTCTGGTCACCCCAGGCATACCAGAGCCTCAGGATTCTGGTGAGAGGAGGCAAAGCTCTCTCAAAACCCTTCCAACGCTCGACGAGACAGAAGTCTTTGGGTTCCCCGTGCAGGAGCCGCTTGCTCTCCGGGACTGACTTGTGATCCTCCAGTAACGCCTGAATCATATCTGCACAAGTTGTGTGCTTTGTTACCCCACAGACGACCTTCTCCTCATTGCAGACAGTAACCTGAATCTCCTTTCCGATCACAGGCTCGGCATCTTTTGTCCTGGGAAAGAGACAGGAAAAAAAAAAACTTCAAAACGTGGCTTAGAAATGAAATGAAGACTCTTTAACATCCTAGTATCCCCTCTGTTTTCCCTCAAGTAACTTTAAGGTTGTTTAAAATCATCAACACTACATAAATTGAAACCAGACTCTTGCTATTGCTACACAGCCAACGTTAGCATTAACAGCTGTTTACATAGCAGTCTAGTAGAAATATTGGCAGTTCAGCATAAAACAACTGGAAAGCAACTTTTGTTTTGCTTCTATCACATTTTCTCTTCTACTGAAGTTAGCATGCTAACCAGCTAGCCCTGGTCCGATTGACCATTTCTGATACCGAGTCACTATAGCGCCGGGGCTGCCCTGAAGAAGTAGCACTGCTCAGAGGATGAGTTATCGCCTCTCGTCTTGTAAACACAACAATAGCTGAAGCTTAATGCTAACGTTGGCTATGTAGCAATAGCAAAAACTGACCCACTGGCAGGCTGCTGCTGCTCAAGCTTTTAAACAGGGCAAATACAGATATCCTCAACCCAAGAAAGTTGTTGTGTTCATCAATGAAACATTAAGAATTATATTTCTCCCTATGAATGGTAAAGTGTGTTGGTCTACAACTTTGGATCAGACAGATATATCTCTTACTGAAATTTTGTGCAGGCGTTCGTGGTCCCCAGAGGATGAAACCTACTGACTTTACCTATAGTGCCACCACCAGGTCTAGGCATCAACTTATCCAATTAAGTATCAACATCTACTGGATGGATTGCCACAACATTTGGTAGAGATATCTAAGGTGCACAGAGGATAAATCCTCCTAACACTTTGTCTGTAGACTCTTAGGTGTTTGTCTTTTATGGTGATAGCTGACAGCGGAGAGGCGACAGGAAATGAGGGGATATAGAGGAGGGATTATGTGCAACAAAGGTCCCCAAGTCAAACTTAAAGCAGAGACATTGAGATTAATCCAAAATGATGTTGTTGTTAGCCATAAACTAAAAAATGAAATGTTTTTTTTTTTTTTTTTTTTTTTAAATGGCCATGTTTACAAAAAGTTCGGTTCAAACTGCAGCTCTGGAACTGCTGCTGTGAGAGAGCTTGTGAAGTATTTGAAGTGCAACACACACATACTCTCCCACTCACACTTTTGAAGTCCTTTCACCATTCTCAGTATTATTTTTTTTTCTTAAATAGATTCTACTTTGATGGTTTTCCATTAGGTCAATGAGCAGAAAACTATGTTCGCTCATTTTGTGCTCCCAAGCTTGATTCAATTAGACTGTTGCTCATCGTCTTACTCATCAGAGATGATCACTTAATGGTCCAGTTCTGAGCTATTTAACCCCAAGGCCCTCATTACCTTTTCATCTGGACCGTAAAACTTGTTCAAAAACTGACCTCTGATGGGCCGACGATATCTATTTTTTACATGCTTAATGGACCACCGGTAATATCCAGGACCTAATATCCAGTCATCAGATGAAAGGCACTGGCAAATGCAGACATCCACAACATGAACAAGTAATCAAATAAGCAGATAACATTGCCAGACATTTCAATTTGATTTCAAGATAAAGAATGATCTATCATGTTATTATTTATATGAAAGATAACATCTCGGGATTATTCAACAATTTATGTGATTAATTAGGTTAACTCTGATGTACTGTAGCCGACTGCCAAGTTTCAAATGTTAAGTTAAAGCCCACTCTGTAATTGCATAAATGTTATACGTCATTCCTTTTTTGCTCCCAGATAGTTAAATGTCAAAGAAACCAGGAAGATTACACATGTAATTCCACCAAGAGACAAAAACTGGAGCTCCTCCTTCAACACTGAACTTTTTTTTTTCCTGTGTGGTTGCAAAACCACAGACTAACCTTTCTTCAACAAACAGGCAATACTTAATTAAAATGTTAACAGCAATAAATCAAAACAATCCATTTGTAATGCCGGCTGATGCCAGGTTTCGTCAACAGTATTTCCAAAAAAACTGATTTCACATAGCAAACTGATGACATCACTGAGGGAGTTTAGTTGCAGCTCAGCAAGACACACATAATCTCAGATAAGTGGAACCAAAAGGTTAAAGGATTTATTTTTTTCTTTCAGTTTGTATTTCATACATCGAGACCTGCATTCAAGGATGAGTGCACAAGAACAGATTCTACAGTATGTTTTACCAGAAAATGAAACAAACTGTGATTGAAATCAAATACGATAGATGTACAGCTGTGCTATCAAAAGTTAGAGGTTGTTCCAGGCAGCAGTGGCTTCAGATCTGAACCTTGCATCTTGTACCTGCAGTGCCTTTTTATCATCTGTGGAGATAACCTTGGTCGGCTGCGGCCCACATTAATCTCTGATCATCGCGAGGGAGGGTGGACAAAAGAAACATCCTCTGAAGATGATACAGATACTATCTACCTGCATGCTGACACGACTAAGTGAGATATTAAGTATTATTCAAATAACTTAAGTGACTTATCTCACAGTTTGCTGATTTTTTTTTTCTTTTTTTTAACAGACTGATACTGTTGTGTTTTGGTTCCCACATGGCATGAGAACTGGATCATTGTGTAAACTGCGGGTGAATAAGTTGTCAGGAATGCAATACCTATGCAACAATGCAAGAGGCTGGTTAATGGTTATGGAGACCCTCGGTAGACGAGCGGGGCGAAGCAAATACCTGAGCTATGCGCAGGCCAAACAAATCCAGCACGCCTCTGGCGTTCACAGACAACAACCACGACGACTTTGACCTCAAGAGTTTCCAACTACCACCTACTCAGGAAACCCCACGAACGCTACTGCGGTGCAGGGAGGGAGAACAGTGGGTGGACCACACCTGTACTCTAATGCAACAGCCTTGAAACACATGAGATAATATGTTTGTACAGCTTATATTTTAATCAACAGTCCTCTGGATTGTTTTACATCGTCTCAAACACAAGAGGTTATCAGGTAAAATCAGGTGTAACTATGGACACATGCAACCTGCAGTGATGTACTAGCAAAATACATTCACTCAAGTACTGTGTTTAAATACAGTTTTCAGGTACTCTACATCAGTATCTTCATTTTATGCTTTTTTTAGAGGGGCGTACACTCCACTACATTCATTAAGCAGCTGTATTATTAGAGTTCACTGGACATTAAATCCATAGCGAATGTATGTAAAATCTTAACTACCCAATGATATTCTAGGTTGTTAAATCAAGCACCATCTTTACTGATTATACAGCATAAACCTCTGGTTTAAAGGTGTTGCAAGCCAAAAGGTTTGGGAACCACTGCTGTAACTGCACTGCAATGCATGGATGGAAGGATTGGTGAAAGAATTGCCAGAAAAATAGAAATGTTTCCTACAAACACTAACACTGGCCTGCGTAAAGCATGTGGGAAACGAGTATCTATGGTCATATCTGAACATACAGGTGAATAAACAATGCTCTCCAGACAATTGGGTATTTCAGAGAGGGTGACCCAAGCCCCTCAGCTGTGCAGGAAGCGGGTACAGCAAGGCAGGGAAACACCTGTATTTGTCCTGGGCTGAAATCACCAACATCCTGCCACCAACAGTTCAATGGACAGAGGGAGGAAGGGGAAAAATGGATTTCACGCCGGTCACTGTGGTCTGTTTTCAGCTCCACTCTCATGTGAAGAAAGTGCTGACAAATGTATGACTGTGGGGCCACGAGCCATCTCCCAACTGTTTGGAATACAACCTTTTTAGTAATGTCCAGAGGTGTTAAAAACGTGTTTTTAAACATTTCTCAGGGGACGAGCTGCTCAAATATGTCAATAACTGAATTAATCTTCAATGGGAGGAACAAGAAAGCTAAGGGGCAAAAATGAATTCAAATAGCATCAAACATTCATATTTCATTTGATCATGACTGTCACTGTTATGATGTTGGATGGCCAGCATGCTAATTATTTTACCAAGGTAGCTATGGGCTAATTTGAGTAGTGAGTTTACAGTTGAGTGGCAGCCTAAAATACCTACCTAAATGTCAGTGAATGCTAGGCTTTATAATATGACTTCTTAACTGATTGTTTACTATTTCAGTTGGCTACTAGCTACTGTTCTGCTGTACTGCTACTGGGGGGAATGGGGGGGTTGCCTGCCTGCCTTTCCTGTTCACAAGCTGTGCCTCTGACTGTTCTTCGTTTTTGTTTTTGTTTTGTTTTTTATAACAGGAAGTGGAGAAAAACATGGGTGACCACTAGTACCTGCGACATCAGCCATAGATTTGTGATCATGGACTTCTTGAAGTGTGAAGTCTTCTGTAAAACTACATTTGGGGCCTGGTTGTAAATGTAGGTGGAGGAAGAAGCAGCAGCAGCAGCAGCAGCAACAACAGCTGGTTGTGAAAAGCTGAGACACAGCAAATCAAGAGAAAACAACCTCCAACATACTTTTCTCTAAGCCTCAACACCTCCCTTAATGGCGCAATGATTCACATAATGGCCAACAAAACAAATTAAAAGTTTCGAGTTAAAAAACAGAACAAAATACTTTTCACTTTAACCTGTGCTATGCTGAAGGTCAAATTCCTTAAGACTACAAAACTTTATCACTGGATCGCTCAAAACTGTCTGGAGTCACGTTGTTTTCTGAGGGAAAACACTTTGATGAGAATGGCGGTATCTGTGTTTGCTAGTGCCAAAACCACTAACCCCCTCGAGTCCACTCCCTGCCAGGACAGACACAAATGCTGCACGCACCATTGGGTTGATTACATCGCAGCTAATACATTTGTACGGGCTGTCACTTTGGGTGCCATTTGATATTCATAGTTTGGGATTAAGCTGCGGTACCAGACGCAACAAATGAGGGTGCCCTCATAGGTCACAGCTTTGGGTGATAAATGACAAAGCTGACGCTGATATCGTGGTGAAGTCGAACCTTGTGATTTGGAAAGGTGCCAATGGAATTCAGGACGTACAATGATTTATATTCTTTAATAGAAATATTAGAATACAAGGTTCTTGTCACGGCGAGGATGGATGCTGTGGGGTGGATAACACATGATCGTTTCACACCTGAGTGAACCCAGGAAACCTGAGCAGACCTGCTTGACCTCAGCCTGAACTTACAAGTTGCAATACCAAGGAGACATCAGACATGTGAGGAGGAAACCACATTCAAATTATCTGAATTTTAGTACAAGTTTCTGCGTTGGACGATTACGTTACAGCTCCACTGTGGTGGTGTGGCTCTCTTCCATTTTAATACTCATAATGACAACCCTGCAGACATTAACAATTCCCTCTTGTGTCATAAATTTGCAAGCTACAAGTTACCACAGAGGACCACATGCTGGTGGTTTGAGCAAGTCATAACAAACGACAGCATTATGGCGCTCCAGCGTCTCAGCGCGTTTTTCTCAGATCAATAGTGATAGCCTATGATAAGGTGATGCGGATATTTCAAACAGGAACAAAGCTGCTATGGCGTATCAACAAATATTTCTTGTAGCCACTGATGTAAACAGGTTCTCATTTACTCCCCAAGGGACTGAAAACTTTGATTATATCCTGATTAGTCTGGCGGTGAGGAAATCACAGGATTGCTCTTACTACTGAAACACAAACAGTACGTCAGCTGATGTGAAAACAGCAGATAAGTGACGTAAAACTTGTTGATACTATAAATCATTCCTTATCGTAACTCTAAAGTGTTGGTTCACCCAAATACATTTCTTCTTCACCTACCAATCCAGATCATTTTGTTTATACTAGCCATCTCTGCTGTCACCTCGGTACAATGGAAGTAACAGCCATGCTAGTAGTTCTGAGGCTTTGGCACAGTGATAATTCAAGCTAATTGCTAATAGCAGCATGCTAACATGCTCACAATGACAACGCTAGCATGCTCATATTTAGCAGCTATATGGTTTATCATGTTCACTCATCTTAGCTTCGTGTTTTAGCATGCTAATTAGCACTTTAATGCTTAATGTAACACAAAGCTAGTTTTGCAGTTTCAGTGGCACTAGTGTAGGCTACATGGAAAGTTAGGGAGTCGCTAAAGTTGTGACAATTCATCAACAGCAGTTGAAACTTCACATGTCAACATCATGTGGTTACTACAGGAAAAGACAGATGATCACAAAGGACATTAGGATTCACCCTTTAGGCACCATGGATAGATACCAAATTGCATAACAATCCACTTAACAGTTGTTGATATCTAAAATCTCTCGCCAGAAACGGTGTCTTTGTAACTCTGGGTAATCCACTTTCAACTGAAGGAAGACGTATTAAGAGTAGATATCAATAAACTAACCCTTTGAATGAAGGAGATCTTGAGTTGTGAGACATGATACATCACATTACAGACATGACATTTGCATCGGTTCCCACACGTTAAATGTTAATAACATTAGACTAACTAAGATGAAGGTTTTATCTGCCCTGTCTGTCAGTGAATGTGTGAAACCAAAAAAGGGCAGCAAACCATTTTAAAGTTAAAACAGAGAATTATATTAGATGTAGAGAGCATCTATGTAGTGTTTTCTCTGACAGATACACAGAGAGTGTAGGACAGGAGACACTTCCTCTGGCTCTTATCTGTAAGAGGATGAGGGATCGGTGAGGAAATAACATCACTTTTCTATCTGTATATGTTCATCTCTGGGATGATGACTCCTCTGATAGGCATCTGTGAGCAGAGACACAACACACCCCTTCCCTTCTCCTCCCTTCCTCTGTGAAACCACCCACCCCTCTTATTTTTTTCTTCCTCCCCCTCTGAGCAGGTCTGTGAATCACCAAATAAGCTTTTGCTCAGTGAAAATAATACAACTGGTATCTTTTTTCTTTTTTTTCTTTTCTTTCTTCTTTTTTCTTTCAAGATTTGCCCTGGCTTGCTAATTTGTGTTATCCAAACAATTTCAGTAGCTAATTGGTCCTGTGAACAATGCTGTCATGCTGTAAGTGTGGCTCAGTGCAAGATTAAGTGGGAGAGGTCACTGCAATGCTTGGGTCACGATTGTCACTGGCTGGAAACCATTTAATTTTCAAACCCTTTCAGGCCTGTTTGTGCTCTTTCACTATGGGATGCCACTTTGACCACGAAGGACTGATTGTTTGACAGTATTCAAACAAAAGTGTGATTCATCCCCAATCATCAACACATTTGAGTTTTTTATAATCTGAAAGTGTGCAAAGGTTTCTTATGTTTGACCTGACTGCAGCTCCACGTCATTGTCATCCTTCAGCAAACATCCAGCTCAGTGTCTCAGCGTCAGTAAAAGCCCGTCTCTGAAATCAAGCGTTTGACATTATCTACAGATCAAAACACTTAAGGTAATTATAGGTGCTGCAGTGGTAATTACCACGCAACATGAAAAAAAAGAAATAAAGACATCCACTGGAGACAGCTTCAGTCAGACTGTTTGAAGTTATCAAAGATAATTCATCTCAGCTCTGTGTGTAATGTGAAAGTACATCCATTATTCTGCTGGTGCCACAGTCAAAGGGTTTGTTTTTCTTAGGCAATAATTTATACTAAATTACTGTAAGTTTTATTTCTGAACTTAATCCAAACCCTTTTCCACTGAGTTTGGTGGTAAATGAGAACCTTTTTTAATAAGTAAAGCTAATGAAAATACGTCTTTACCCACAATTAAAACCTTCCTGATCCCGGTTTTGGCAGCATGAATCCTGCCTGCACCCTGCAAGGGATTGGATCATGACCTAGATACTAAGACAAACTCTGTTTACCAACTCTGCACAACTAAAGTCTGCAGTCCACAACAGAGGACAGCTTGTGCCTCAGTGAATCTAATTTTCCCACCTTTTTTTTTTTTTTTTCTAAACCTGAGGCTGAATCCCAGCTGTAGCCAGGGGCACATCAAAAGGCCAGGTTAGTCACTTAAGGAAATTGCTGAGGCAAATTATACATGTTGATGACAGGATCTCTCTCAGGTCCTTTGACTCTGTCGTACCAGATGAAACGGGTATTAAATATAACATCTTTGTAGTAATTACAGAGCAGGAGAGGGTCAAAGCTTGTATGAGCTGATGCACAGTGCCGTGTACTTTGACAGGAATGAGAGAAACACTATCAAAAAGTGTAATCTGCTCAATCTTTCCACAATAATTGGAAATATTACAACAAACAGGGAAGAAAACAAGTCTTACATCTGCTTAATTTAGTGAAAGGATCCAAATGTGTGTTAAAAATATAGATATATGGATGAAAAATTGTTTAAGGTTATATCCGCTTCCCTCCTCCAGATGCAAATATGCAATCGGCCTCCGGCCTTAAGAAATATTCCTTTCACTTTACTTTTGTGTTCTTGTAGTTAATGGCATTAAATGGCGTTTCTGATTATAATATAGATCCACGGTATCACCATGTTGGACAACCTGCAGTTTCCTTCTAATATTGTTGGTCAAAAAGATGCTAACACAAAGCTCCATTCACAATTCACTTTTCCCCCCTTGTGCAGCTCAGTCATTAAATCCAACGCGCACTGACTTCAGTTCAGGTCTCCCTCCTCAGCAGTTCAAAACAGAGAGCTCTGCGAACTTGAAAGAACACACACACACACACACACACACACACACACACACACACACACACACACACACACACACACACTCTCTTATAATCGCACTCTCATCAAATTACCTGTTTTTCAGTCGAGCTTTCAGGAAGTTTTTTCCAAACGGAGCCATGACTGAAGGAGCGGAATTAAATAGACAACAATCCCAAATACGTTACAGTCCCCGCATGGCAGGACGTCGGACAGTTGTGTGGTGTGTTTCAGAAAAGTTGAGTCTGTCCCGACTGCAACTCTGTCCGCCGCCCCATCCTAAAAGCGGGAGGGAGGTGTTTCCCCAGACTTCATAGACATTTATCGGTGAAACTCTGCCCCCTTCCACCTGCAAGAGAAACTAGGGAAACTCGAGCAGAGAAAAAAAAAATGACAAAGGTAAATACTTGTGTGAAAAAAACGTAAAATAAAGAACCAAAAAAAAAAAAATTAAAAAAAAAAAAAAAAAAAAAAAATACAGTATAAGGTCAATTTAAACTCAAGTTAAAACATAAGAGAACATGAGACTATCTGGGCAGTAAGTGCTAAAATCCCAGGAATAAGTCACATTTTGATTATAGAAGAGATTATAGAAACAGCCGTTATGAAAGTTGAAACATCCATATATAGTAGCATATCACATGCACAAATATTATTAAGATTACATATATTACACAATATAACACACAATGAATTAAGCTTTTACAAATATATCTAACGGTGCAATGAAGAGGCAGAAGTCAAGTGATGTTAAAATATGATTAGTTTACAGTGAGCTGCAGTACAGGACATGCAGAGGAGGATTCAACCTCTTGGCGTTTGGATTGAAATGACAGAGATGAGATTCAGACATAAGAGGAATGCAGCCTGCGTTAACTCCAGCCAGACTGTTTCTTCTGCAGATCGCATACGTCTTGGAGTTGTTCCAGCTGGGTTGTTTACTGTATATTAAAAGAGGATAATTCTCTCTGGGGACCAATTAGTGTGAAAATGGACGAATGAAACTAAGGCTGATTTACAATGAGGATGCACCAACTCGACTATACTTACTTTGTGGCTTTCAATCAAAGTGGATTTTATGTGATAGTGTGCCACATGTACATACAGTATTTCATTAGAAATGTCCAGTCTCTTCTTTTATATTACAACCCAAAGCATCCTAGATTAGGATACAAAATGAACAACGATCAGAGGTGTTTGCCAGGACATAATTTTGTCATTTATAAAGTTTGTTACTGCTTATATTTAATTTCACAACATGTATACAGTTTATTTTTGTTGATCTGAAGTCCACCAGATCGCACCTGAACCTTCAGACAGACAGCAGAAAGAGCAGAATAATGAACTCTCAAGTCTCTATGCAGTGTCTGTATACAGTATACACATTAATCTTCATCCCTCATTTGTTTTACATCAGATATCTATTTGTTCCAGGCAAGAAATATCATTAGAGAAAAAGAATCAAAGGTACAATTTATTAAAAAAATTTGAAAAAAATCAAGTAGGAGGACAGGATCTAAAATAGATCCCTGTGGGACTCCATAGAAAAGTACTAAACATATTTTCTTTTTGTTATATTTACATATTTCTGTTTAAAAAACAAAAAACAAAAAAAACATAATAGCATAGCTGTATTTTAAAACTTGTTTTGAATTGAAGTCCAAATTGAATGGTTGACCATTTCTTGTTTTACTTTATTCAGGACCAACCTGTGTTGCACAGAGCAGTTCTGTGTATTTAGATGCTCATTCAGAATCTAGTAGTTTTGCATTCGCCTTTTAAGCCAACGTGAACAATAAGTCCATAAAGGGCTAAAAAAAACAAAAATGAATTTGAATATTTACAATTCCTTGAGAAAGTCCATCTGCTCATGAAAATTGTGCAAAATGAGCAAAAGTACCAGAAAAGCTATTTAATGGACTTTAGGGTGAGATTTATTCAAATAAAGTGTTTCTTTTAAAGTGTGTCTTCAAGAATATCAATAACAATATTTCCATAAAACAACTGGCTGCTTATGATTATTATTCATGTATTTTTAATGCCCTCATTTGGTTTGTAATTTGATCACCTGTTGATTTGAAAAGAGACCTAATAATATACAAAAAAAAAAAATCTTTGTCGTGCATCCTCCCACTCTCCCCCATCACTCCTGCATCCCGTCCCCGGGAGACGAGAGCAAAGCAAACCTCAGGCTGTGTGCATTCATGAGGTGAAATAACCAAATCTCTCAAACCTTGACGCAAAAACCTTTCGCCCTGTGATGCTAAAGTGACGTCTGATAAAGCAATGACACAGTGACGGGAGGGAAGGGAAACATGAAGAGAGGGATGGGTGGATGATTGAATGGATGGATGGATGGATGGAGGGGGCTGAGTTAGTGGGTGGGTAGGTGGGGGTGGGGGTGGCAGGGGGGTAGTGGTGGTGAGAGATCCTCTGACATCACATTGCCTCTTATAAACTGAGGGAATGGAGCCCACTGCACTTCACATCCAACCAGAAAACTGCAAGGAAGGGGAAGCGTTGATTGGAGCTGGGAGAGAAGAAGAAGAAGAAGAAGAAAGGGAGGAAGAAGACAAAAAAGAGGAAGCAGTAGCAGCAGCATCACTACTACACATTCCCTCCTCATCCTCTTTAGCTGTCTGGGTCTGACCCTTAACCTTATGGACTAGATTCTTCCTCAGGTGAATTCTTCCGAGTGGGATCCTCTTTTTGTTTGTTTTTGTTTTTGTTTGTACTCTCGTCGTCAAGATGCAGGCACAGTTGGCGTGTATGCTTCTCCTCTGTTTCACATGTGGTGGACTTTGCACAGGTAAGCACTTTTCAGCAAGCTTTTGCATGTTTGCATCATTTTCTGATTCTTATCATCGACTTCACTCATGGTAACAAAGTAGATAAAAAGCCACGACAGTCAGGTGAAGTCTGCAACACATCCAGCCCACTTACTGCATGCAACAGGTGCATCATTTTGGTATTTAAAAACAGATTATTCTATATTTCTTCAATTTAAGACATTTATTCTTCTCATTTTCTATCCAAGTTGTGACTTACTGCTTCAGTATTTCCCCCTCCTTTACGCTCCTATTAGCTCCTTCTCCTCAATTATCCAATGTAATTTACATGTACAGAGAAGAAAACAATATTTCTTATTATCTTTTTAATTGGTTCCAAAATTAAGGACATTAATTTTTTTTATTCATTTATTTCATTAAATGCAAGCTACACTAAACTGCGTAAGAATCTAAAACCACAAGGAATCCAATTAAATCACAAAGTCACTTTTGCTCCAATGAGCCAATGAAACCTAAAAGATGGAAAAATAGATCAAAAATAAGTGATGGATGTTGGATCTACAAAGCTTTATTGGGTTATTTGTGTTTAGTTCACTCTGAGGGCCCGTAAATTAATCGTGTGTCACGTGTTGAACACTTAAAGTTGCCTACCAGCGAATAAGACCGAAGGCTGAGCCTCCAAATTACACTTCAGAAGAAGAGTTTGCAGCATTTACATCTTAATCCCAACTCACAAAGATGATGGAGGAAGTCCGAATGGCAGTTTAAAGCATCAGACAAATCGATAAAGATGGTTCTATATTTCCATATCTAATTGACATTTTCTTCTGCAGCAAGCAGTCAGGATTGATTTACGTCCAGATTAGATTTGGCTGACGGTTATATTTTCTGTTTTACCTCCAACCGGCAGACGTCGACCAGGACCAGCGAGCGCTAGAAGAGGAGCTGCTCAGCAGTCTCTTCACTTCTAAGGTAAAAGCCCCTCTCTCTCTCTCTCTCTCTCTCTCTCTCTTTTTAGTTTTTTATTCTGCACCTGTGACATCAGAGACGGGGTGTCCAAAAAGCTTCAACCCACCCGGTCAGCTAGTGACACTTCACACACACTCACACACACACACAGGCTTCCCACCCAGGTGTTCTTTCATGAAACCTGCACCCGTGCTTCAGTCACAGCCTCACCTTTTTTGGCCGTATTCCTGCTGAGTGGCAGGTAAATAATTTACTGGAAGAGACTCACTCTGTGTCACTCGGCCAAACTTGCTTAGGGGGCTGACATTGTTTTGTTTTTTTTTTATTTTTTTTTTATTGGAAGTGTGTAAGAGAGAAATAAATATAATCAACACACTCCAGTTGCTGCAGTGGAGGGCATGTCCTCTGAGATGAAAGGAAAATAAGAGCTGAGGCTGAGAGAAGTTATTCAGGCGTAACTTTAAGATTTTTTTCTTTTATCAAATCTATCTGGTGCCGTGCGCTGAGGGCCAAGGCAAAGCTGAGGGATGAAGTCGGCGAAAGTGGGACTAGAGGCACAAGGAGAGACAGATGGACCGAGCCTAATAGGATTCAGATGGACCTGACGGCATCATAGCGACACATCTTCCTCCTCTCTCTCTCTCTGATGAATAACCGTGGCGACCGCACGGAGACGTGTGATTCATTGCTGCTGATGCTGCGAGGTTGCTCAGGGGTGATGACTGTAATAATAACTTGCTGGGTGACTGATGGAGTGCTGAAGAGGCTGTAAAGTGCAGTATTGTAGCAGATACTTGTTGCTTTATCTTAACAATATACATTTTTTAGGTGACATCTAAATTGATTGACCTGCTCAGCTGCTGTTGAGATGCAGGCAGTAGATTTCCCCCTCTGGTTCTTTTTTTTCTCTATTGAACATGATTACATTATTCTACAGCCAGGGCTCATCTGTCAGCGCAAAGGTCAATACAAAACTAGCCAGACTCTCTATCATTAGTTACTTGGAATATAGATTGAGCTCTTCCAGTCATTTTAAGTTGCTTATTATAAATAAATTGAGTCAGTGTTAAAGAAACAGAGCACAACATTGCGATAAAGTGTGCTGGTGGTTCAGTTATTAAGTCACTCTCTGACAGAAAATCCAAGGAGCTGATTTGTTAATAACGTGTGGCCCCACTGGGGACTGTAAGAATATCGGGCCCCTGAATTAACTGTTTATTTCCCTCCTCAAAGTTATTGATTAACTGTCATTAAGGGAGAGGATCCTAATACAGCCAAATAAAAAAATAAATAAAAAACACTACCCTTCATGTGACCTTTCTGCATAATTAAACCTGCACCTGGCCCCACTCACTTAGTTCATTTAAAACCAAATGAAAACCACTGAACTCCTCCATGCATGAACGATTTCTAAATGTCAGTAGCTGCTTATGTTTGTTTCCCTTGCGTGTTGTCCGTTTGATGTCTCTACAACT